AAAAAAAAAAAAGATAAAGAAAACTCTCCCAGTGAAAAGGAGCTGCTCCAAAGTCAGGAGACCATCTTAGGAGAAGCAGAGCAATGTGGGCATTTATGGGCAGTGAGGAGCTGCAGACGGCCTGCAGTGCCACAGCAGGCTGGCTCCATCACCCTGGGGGCACGTGCATCCCAGCATGTGACAGCGAGGACAGGCACAGGTGGCAAGTGAGGGACAGCAATGCAGGCCCCGGCCCACATGTGGCTGGCCTGGGGCCACCAGAGGATGGGGCCAATCGCAACTCAGGCCTCACTGGCTCAGGGGGTCTATTTGGCAGCAGGGGTCTATTGCTGAGGAGGGGCAGGCAGGACCCTCTCAGCCTGGGAGGCTGCAATGTGGGCTCCATACAGGTGGAGGCCAGGGATCCCAGGCTAGCCATGTCTGAATTCTTGGTCTCAATGTTCTGGTCCTGGCACCCTCTACCACCCCTGCAGGGGACTGTGGGGGTGACTGTGGAACACTAGGCACAGCCTCGGGATGTCTTTGGAGGTATTATGGGGTTTCTCTGGTCATGCTTAACCCCCAGGACTGCTGTCACAACTTTCCCTGCGCCCAGCTGCCCCACATCTGCCCACCTGGCTTGTTCCTAGTGCAGGACACAGGCTGGAGCAGGGGGATCTTGATGGGGCTGGGGGTGGTGAGCACAAACAGCACAAAACGGTCAACGTCTACCTGGTCACACAGGGCAGGTATTGGGTAAGAGCCCCCAAAGCAGTGGGGACATCCTAACAAGTCTAGCCATTGCTGTATAAGCTCAGGAGTTAAGGACCCAGAATGGGGGAAATAAAGGGGCCCAGAAACTGCATTTTGCTCTGGACACAAGGAAGAGTTGTGGTGCATCTTGCTGGGGGAACGTTCCTCCCAGTGTCAGTGGGGTTACAAGGGCTGGGACAGGGGAACAGTTAGTGGAATAACAAAGTATAATTTCTAAATAACAGAAGAATAAGCAGCAACTCCATCAAACCAATGAAGAGAAGAAAACATCAAGTAAGATGGAAGGAATAAAAGGAAGCAAACCCATTATTCTGCTTTGTGAACACACTGAGTTCTTCCCGTGAAGGCAGAGAGCATTTGTCTGGGCTCACAGACAAAACTTGGCTCCTTAAAGGGGACCGCAAGTCATTTTAAAAAACGTGAAGCAAGGACAATGGTAGTAAGAGGCCCAGTCAGGCCATTCCTGCCAGATGAGCAGGAATTTATAGGTGAGACAGGCAGCAGGGGCAAGGGAGGCCTTGGGTCCCGATCAGAGATGCTGAGCACAGAAGCAGTTATAAACTCTCATCACAAACCACAAAGCAGCCGATTGAAACCCACCGGTTAGAAACATAAGAACTTGTCAAAAATGTAACCATGATGGAAGGAAAAGGCAAGAATAACCCAGTCAACAAATCTGTTTACGGCCCTTAAAACAAATACACTTGCCACATTTATAAAATCAGTCTTGTCTTTGGTCACAAAGAAATTTTTTTTCATTTACCACCTTTTTTTCCTTTTTATTTCCTTGCTTTTTTGTTGTTGTTGTTGTTGAGACAGAGTCCCATTCTATGTCCTAATCAGAGTCAGTGGCGTCATCACAACTCATTGTAACCTCAGACTCAGGCTGTGGGCATCCCGCTGCCTCAGCCTCCAGAAGCCACTGGCATTATAGGCGCCTACCCTGTACCTGCCTGGGTTTTTCATTTTTTTATGAGTTGGGGTCTCATTTTTGTTCAGGCAAGTCTTGAACTCCTGACTCAAGCAATTCTCCTTCCCCAGCCTCCCACAGTGCTGGGATTACAGGTGTGAGCCACTGCACCCAGCACAAAAAAATTTTAGCTTTTTTTTTTTTTTTGAGACAGAGTCTCAGTCTGTCATCCTGGGTAGAGTGCTGTGGTGTCACAGCTCACAACAACCTCAAACTCTTGGGTTTAAGCGATTCTCTTGCCTCAGCTTCCCAAGTAGCTGGGACTACAGGTGCTTGCTACAATCAGAATGCTCCAGATTGTGGCTATTTTTGGGTTGTAGTTGTCATTGTTGTTTGGCAGGCCTGGGCTTGTTTCAAACCTGCCAGCTCCAGTGTAGGTGGCTGGTGCCCTAGCCGCCTGAGCTAAGGTGCTGAGCCTTAACAGAGGAGAGTTTACAGATAATATTCTCTGATTATAATTCAATTTGACATACAAATGATTAAAAATAAGCCAAATTTTTAACTACTTGAATTGAGGAAAGCATTTCTAGTGATTAAGAACAAGAGCACTATGTATGTATACATACATGTGTCTGTGGCATGTGCACACATGCACGCACCCATGTACTCAGGCATGCACATGTGTGTAACGCCCATGTCTGCCTGTGTACACACGCTTTCATGGGTGCCTGTGGGTCCTTGTGTGCTATGAGGCCCCCCATGCCAGCCACTATCCAGCCACACGAGCATAGGCAGACAACAGTCACCTCCTGTGGCTGTGGAGAGGCTGCATGTGTCAAGTGGCAACAGTGATACTTACCGATGGGCAATATGGATTCTTAAACGTGACCTTGAACCTGGTGTGGACCTCCCCTGGGATGGATGGGGTGAAGATGATGGGCACTTTGATCGAACTGAAGGGGCTGAGCTCTCCCTCTGTTATCTGCAACAGAGAGAAGCAGAGGGGCCGGTCAGGCATCCTGGTTTGATTGAGGCTCCTCTCACTCACCCTCATGATGGCAGGTCACTGCAAGGACATATGTCCCTGGGTGGCTACTTGAGGACTTAAATTCCCTAGGATTCCAAGGTATCCCAACCCCTCCCCCAGCTTGTGCATGTCTGTGCTGCCTGGCTTGGAGACCCACTGTTAGTGTCCTCTCTGAGCTAGACCAAGAACCCTGCATCTAGGAAACTGGCCCTGCCACTCTGGTGCTATCCAGCCCCAGCTTAGGAGGGGGTGATCGATGATGCTACTGGGATTCCAAGGTACAGGGGGATGAAAGTTCAGTGGCCTCGCATGGCTCTGGTTAAACAGAAGGACCGCTTGGGGGCAGAGGGACATAGCTGGGGCAACACGGGCTGTCCTAGCTCACGCAGCCGGGTGGGAGTAGGATGAACTGGCTGACCTCCCCTAGCACGATCTCCGCCTGCTCCTCCACAGTCAATCTCTCCACTTCTGGAAGAGAAAAAACATCCAGGTGTGAGGAAGGGGGCAGCTCTGCCCAGGCCATACCCCTGGCTAGAAAGAGGACTTCAGACTCTCCCAGCACTCAGAATGCTCCAGGGTGTGGCACTGCAGACCCTGATGAGGTCATTACACATTCTGTGCACGCAAAAATTATTCACCCATACCCTGTAAGTATGTAAAATGTTTTGTATCAATTAAGAAAGAGGTTTTTGTATTAAAAAGAAACAACAGGATGCTACATTTTGGGCAATTGCAGCTTTGGGGGTAAAGATAAGTTTCCATTTCCTTGGTAAGCTCTGGCAGTGGGGCTGGGGGCTTCCCAGGAAGCCATGACCTGCTCTCCCAGGACAGCTCTGCAGCTGCTCCCCATCAGTGCCTAGTACTTCCGTCATGTTTCTAATCCGGTCACCCTGGTGAGTGTGCAGTGGTGTCGTGGTTCCCTCACATGGCCGCCTATTTAGTGATGTTGGGCGTCTTATGTGCTTGCTTGTCATCCACATGTCTTCTTTGATGGTGTCTGTTTAAATCTTTCACCCATTTTTGTACTGGCTGTGTTCTAATTGAGTTTTGAAAATTATATATTTTAGATCCAAGTTTTCCGATTTTTTGAGACAGAGTCTCACTTTGTCACTCTGGGTAGAGCGCTGTGGCATCATCACAGCTCACAGCAACCTCAGGTTCCTGGGTTCAAGTAATCCTCCTCTCAGCCTCCTGAGTAGCTGGGACTATAGGCGCCTGCCACCATCCCTTGTTTGTCTATTTTTCTTTTTTTTTGAGACAGAGTCTC